CACGTTCCATTATTTACCAAATTTTCAAGCTTCACTTTCATTGAACAATTTTCGATTAAGAGATTTAAGCGTATAATTTCAATCACTCTGAGCTAAATCTCTGGTTCAAAGCTATCTCTAATTGTGTTTCACTCAACATTCTTGCATCTTTTTCTAACTCTAAGTCGTTTTCTAACATAGCCATTTTGAGTCTTTTGTTATCCAGTCATCCTCTCACATGGAACATCTCTTGGGAAGCAATGTTCTTCTCATCTAAGGCTTTGTTATAGTCTGTAAGACGGCAGCACATGTGTCATTAAGATCATCTATTAAGGTTGACAGTCATGTATTTATAGTTTAGAGTTTGGATCATGAGTTTTTACCTGTTCGACGATGCTTAGAGTTCCATCCTTTGCCATGTAGCAGTAGTCTTTTCTTGGGCTTTGTAGACCCATCATCATCCGCAGTTGCCAGCATGTAGATTTTCCCTTTTCCTTTGACCTGCTGATGGCTTCATCTTCGTCTCCGGATGACCAAACTTGATGGTCTCTTTTGACATGGGCTACGTATGCCTGCCTTTTCCTTATCTTCCAACTCTTGAGCCATTCTAAGGTAGAATGCTCTGTCTTTACTACATTGTCCTTACAATCTCTGCAAAATGATTCTCCTTGTTGCACTTGTGGCAAATCACAACATCAGTTTTGTCTTCTGAGGGAATACCGGAGTCAGGGGTTTGAGTAGACTGTGGTGCCTCCTTTGGTTGAGTATTTTGAGATTGTGGTGGATGAGAACTTTTGGGATATCGAGGATGGTTATTCTGGGGACTGAAGTTATGGGTGAATGGAGGTTTTTGACTGTTAATTCTTGCGGAAGGAAGGAGGTGTAGACGGTTGAACTGTGGCTAACCAGAGCAATAGCCTTCTGAAACTCTTCTTCTTCATCATCATACTCTGAATCAGCTTCGTATGACTGCGGTGGAGTGTCATACGAGGGAGAGTAAGATTGATTATGTGGAGCTTGTGCTACGAGAGCAAGTGGTCCTCCGAAGTCAGCACAGTCTTTGAGTACGGTGGATTCTTGTGCTTGCAGTTCTCCATAGAGCTTGTAGAGTGACAAAGAGTAAATCTTCCTATCGCCTTGGACTATCATCTTAGCCGTAGTCCAATGTCTTCCCAAACCATTTAGAAACTGAAGATTTGTTTCATGGTTACTGCGGATGGTGCCCGCATTGGATACCTTGGTGACTATCAGGTTGAACCTTTTGAAGGAGTCTTCCAAACTTTCGCCAGTATAAGCTTTGAAGTTGTTGAACTCATTGAGTGCGGTTGTAAGCTTCTTGTCTTGTGCTTGTTCTGAGCCTTCGTACAGATTCTTGAGAACTTCCCAGATTTCTTTTGCTGATTTCCAATTTATGATAATATCGAAGTTGTCAGGAGCAACTCCACAGGAGATTTCATAAAAAGCAACAGCATCATTTTCCATTTTATCGAGATCATCCTTGGTGGGACGGTTCATGACTGGTTGACCTCCTCCTAGTCTGATTGTAGCGCCGTCAGTTTGGACTGGTGTAAGAACTGGGACATGTGGTCCTTCTTCTACGGATCGCCATACGTCTCTACCAAGTCTCCTTAAGTATCTTTCCATTCTCTGGGACCAATGATGATATTCATTTGCAACCAATATTGGAGCTCGATTAGAACCACCAACACTGTTGGAAACATTCAGAGATAACGATTGTGCCATATTTCCTTGTTTTTTTTTTGAAGTTTTTTTTGTTTTAAGAAATGAGCTTCAGTTGTAAAGAAGGCCCTTTGAAAATCAGAGTTCCGTTTTTCAAAAAGCAACCACTATGGCTCTGATACCAATTGTTGAGAGAAAAACTTTGAGACACACTTGAACAAACGTTAGAACAAGTATATTGCGGAATAGTTAATCTCGAAGGATCTAAAAGCTCAACAATAATGTTAATAAGTTAGAGTTAGATAGTTAGAGAGTAAGTTGCGAAAAAGTAAAGAAATGAGAATGACAGCAATTGTTATATCAAGAATACACATAAGTTGATTCATAACGAGGAATGCATTCAAGCCAAGTTAATAAGTGAGATCAAACTTAGTGATTAAGTCACAAGAGACTTGCTCCGAAGAGAGATTGTAATCAGTTATATTCTAGTAAGATTTGAGAGTAAGAAGTGATGCGTAGATAGAGAGATAGAAAAATATAACTTCAGAGATATGTATTTAGATTGATAGATAGATAATTATAAGTGAGAATGAGCTCTATTTATAGAGACTCAAGGAGTTACATTCACTCTCTAAGAGTAGCCATGCAAGGCATACTGGACAATAGAGAGTATTACAGAAAGACAAATAAACTAAGTAAAGTAAGAATGACTGCGGTTGGCTAGATGACTTCGGATGCGGTTGCTGATGAGAGAGCTTGACTGCAGTAGGTTATTGGCTGCGGTAGCTGAAGTTCAAGAGGGTCACTTTTCATGATTCAACAGATGGAAGATGAAGCAGAGACGTAAGAGAGAAAGAGTGGTATTTCGTATCATTCGGTGTGTTCCATCAGTACCCTGAAGCCTCTACTTATACTCAGAATAATAGAGGTCAAAAAAACGTAACTGATGTGATTAATATGAAATCGTAACTGTCAAAAGAATGGCACAATTAATCAAGAAATAAAAACTGAAATCTATGATTAATGGCTTTTAATTTCAGGTTTATAACAATTTAAATGAAAAGAAAATAATTACAAAAGGTCCATGAACTAATCTGGTCAACCGCTGGTGCATTCGTACCTGCAAGACGCACACTCGCACATAATTATGGTGGCCTGAAGCCAAACTGTCTAGCATTTTCATCCCCACCACTATGTGTGTGCGCACTAGAGAGAGCCTTGGTTCTATAAGTCTTACAAAGGTAGTTAGGCATTGTAGTTATAAACACATTTCCTTTTCATACTCCCACCAATGTGGGATGAAATAAACCCAATAAACCATGTGTTTATACTCTTCCAAACACCTCACTTTAACAAGTAATATCTCAGTCATCTTTAATCCACTTTCGACGTATTATATTTCAAAAATGAAAGTGTCATGCAGGAGAACATGAGTATGTAATCATTTGTCCATTTTGATTACATCTAAAGTTTGAAATTTGTGCTCAAAATGGGAAAAACACATTTTTGGAAATTGGTAAAACCAATTTTCCAACAATATGCATATGTGGATATAAAGGTACGTACAAACCAATTTTCCAACAATATTCATATGTGGATATAAAGGTACGTACATTCTCGCATATTTCAAATCTACCGCTTAAGCGCTCTAGCATACCGGGATGCCGGAATATATAATATTCATATAATTATAAATATATTCATATATGAATAATTCTGTGTCAATTCACATGTGATTATTCATATATGAATATGGCGGTTGGTGGCTGAGGTGGTGGTGGCAGTGGCGGTGGCGGTGGTGGTGTCGGTGGGTAGCTGAGGTGTTTGTGATGCTGACGGATATTCATATATGAATAGTATATACTTATTCATATATGGATAAGTATATCATATATGAATATATAAGTATATTCATATACAAATACATATATTCATATACAAATAAATATGTGTCTATTCTCAAGTGACATTTCTTCATCTATCGGTACCCCTACCCCTGAGGGTTTTGGCGGCAAAAACAATATGTGACCCAGATTTTGATTTCGTTTTCTCAATTGTATAATTGTTCTCATTTGCACCTAAGTATGTGTATGTGTGTTTCTATATATATATATATATATATATATATATATATATATATATATATATATATATATATATATATATATATAGGGTTAGGTTCATATGAAACCATTATATTTTGTGAGACATCAGGACGCAATCATAACAATTTATTTTGGAGATAAAAAAATACTTTTAAAATATAAAATAAATGAAATTTGTTAGAAAAAAATCAATATTAGTTTCGTCATTTATATTATCTATAAAAAATAAATAAAACAAATAAAATAAAAAATTTACCCTTTTTTTCAAAATATACGTCAAATGTTCTAATAGAGTATTATACTGTAAATATTCAAATCGAATTTTTAAATGTTAGAATATTTTACTAGAATATTAAACTATAAATTTTCAAAAAAATCTAAAAGAATATTAGAATAGTCTAACAAATCTAAAAATTGTAATAGAATATTAGAATATTTTAACATATCTACCAATTTAGTAGAATACTAGAATATTCTAACATTTTAAAAATTCGATTTGATTATTTGGTGTGTAATATTCTATTAGAATATTTCACGTATATTTTGGCAAAAAAAATAACGGTAATTTTTTAATTTTTTTGGATAAATTAAATAACGAAAATAATATTTAATAAAGGACTTATAGGATTTTTCCTTTTATTTTGCATTTGATAAAAAAAATTAATTTTTTTTATCTCCAAAATGAGTGGTTAGGATCGCATCCCCATATCTCACAAAATTAATATGGTTTCAAATTAACCTATATATATATAATATATATATATATATATATATATATATATATATATATATATATATATATATAAGGTTCAAATATTCTAACTAATTATTGTGTGGATGTAGGAATGATTGTAGGCGAATCATTTCAAAAACCTAAATAAGGGTAAAATTGTAATCTTACCTATTAATTAATTTTATTTATTAAATAAATATTTAATAAATTCCTTAAATATTGGATTAATTTCCCTTAGATCATGCCTAATATGTTACCACCAATCCATATCGTCTTTTTCAACCCAACCCTACCATCGACCGACTCCGTCTGATATACCCCTTTACGCCTCCATGTGTGAAGTGCCTCCCAAACTAATCAATCATCAAATTCCCATTTCCACCATCACTAAACCCAAATCACATACTCAACTGGCATCAAATAGAACATGGTGAGTGGTGACATTAGTGGTGGCAACAACCACCGATCCAACGTTGTATGGACCAACGAGAGCGCTCTCAGCCATGGGGAATTGGAACCCTGGTGTATCCTTTCAAGTACTGATCTCTACTTCCAATACCTCTCCTCCATTTCTAGTCCCTATTTCGTATACCTTTCTAAACTCAAATTTCTTTTTATAAACTTTTTGTAAAGGTGATTAGAAGCCAATTAAACGGATATGTGAGATTACTGGAGCACAATAAAGGGATAGTGGAGGAGGATCATTTAGATAATCGATGGGAAGAGGCTACAAGCAAGGTTGTTGACGAGATCATCTTCCTCAACAAAATCACCACCGTCACTAATCGCCCTACTCTCACCATTCACCCAGTCGGTATTACTCTAATTCATTCATTAACGATTAATAGTTAGCCATTAACATGATCCACTAGTTGATTTCAAAGCTTCATATCATGTATTTGATTAGGTGTGCCTCATCTAAAAGAAGGAGACGTTCCTCCATAAGGAGGAAAACCTGGATGGGCAGCAATTCCTAGCCCTCGAATGACACCATGGTTGATATTCCTAAAAAAACATGCCCAATCTCATAACTTGGTTCCTGAATTCAAGGTACTCTTAACTTCAATTCTAGCAAGAAACTCATAACATCTTACATTCTTAATTTTTTGTCACTAAATCAACATCTTACTTGCACTTTTGTCCTGAACATGATACCTCATGAATCATCTACAATACTGGAAAACAACTCTAACCTAATTTGCAACAAGATTTCTTGACATTATTGCTCAATATATGCTATTAGCTAGTAACATAAACACTCTTTTCAATTTATATGTTGTAGATTTCCATGACTTAATTTTATCTTTAGTTGCATACTTTCATCCTCAGAATATTTTTTCATGATTTTTGAAGTTAGTTTGGTAAGGATTAGGAATTGGAAGTGGAGAGGCTATTGGAAACTGGAACAGGTATACCCATTATGGCATTATTTCAATCTTATGATGTTGGACAAATTACAAATATACCCCTATTGGCTAAATTTTATTGTTTTGTTATCAATCAAGTTTTTTTTATATTTTTCATTTTTTACCATGGTGATGCTACAAAATATTTTTCATGTGATACCGAGTCATATATTGCATGACAGATGTTGGTCGAAATTCCTGAAAGAGAATCTGACAATGTGGTATGCATTTTGTCAGAATTACTTAAGTTAGTTTTAATATTTGTCATATAAAAGCGTTCACACATAATGTTATTCTTACATAATTCGATTTCATGACTACTATTCTCATAGAATGTTTTATTTCATGGCAGTTATTCTTATAGAATGAATGAATGGCACATGATGATCAAGGGGCATGAAGGTTGGATGATGGTGTGTGGGATGGAGATGAACATTGGTAACTAGTGAAAGCACTATTCATTGTTATATTCTGACAGAATAATTTACAATAAAATGATAATACAATATGTAATACTAGTATACTTTGGTAGAATATTTAGGTAGAATAATCAATAAATTGTGTTTATTTGTTCATAGTAAGTGTTTCATTATTATAGAATAGTATATAGTTTTTTTTAAGAATATGATGAAAATTTTAAACTTGTTTCCAAAAAATTGTTATTCTTCGAGAAGTTCATTAAATAAAAAATATTGTTATTTTGTTTGAAGAATGATATTATCATTCTAACAGAATGTCATTCTGTTAAAATGAAATCGGGTATGATTAAAAATTACACAAGAATTAAAATTGAAGGCAATTAATTATCCCCAAAAATTTGGAATTTTCCTTTTTTAAATTTGACTCAATTGACTAAAATACCCTTATAGTGAAATTAGATGGTATTTTCACTTAGATGGTATTAATCACTTTGTTAAAATAACTAAAATGATTGATTGGTCCACAATCAACCCTACATCCATAGAATAAATAGTTAAAATACAATAGCCTAACCCTATATATATATATATATATATATATATATATAGATATATATATATATATATATATATAAGATATATATATATATATATATATATATATATATATATATAGGGTCCGGTTCCTGTGAGTACTCATTTTAAAGTAAGAAATTGTGAGGACACCTTAAAAAAATTGAAAAAAAAATCTAAAAAAAATACAAATAATAAAATCGAGCATAGATCTACATAGGGGAGAAAATAAAATTGGAAAAAAATTACATCATTAAAATTGATCCATGATTCAATTTTAATTTTTTTATTTTGCATCATTATGATGCATGATTCAATTTTAATCATCAAAATTTCTTTTTCAATTATTTTTATCCCGGACATAGATCTATGCTCGATTTTATGATTTGTGTTTTTTTTAAATTTTTTTAAGGTGTCCTCACTTTAAAATGAGTCATCGCCGATCTTGTTTTTATATATATATATATATATATATATATATATAGATATATATATATATATATATATATATATATATTATCAAGTGTTTAAATTTAAAATATAAAATTATATTATTTCCTGATAATATTTGTTTATAAATTATAGTTATATTAGTTTATAAAAAATCGGCACGTGTAACCATAAAAGTTTTCCTCACATAGTCATTGAATATTGATAAATTAGGCAAATTTTCTCTGAAAAAGTTATATAAAACTATAGAGGAATAATAGTTAATTTTTGTCTGAAAAAGTAATATAGAGGAATAAATAATTAATCTTAGTTCTCTTTAATACATACCTATGTTACGGTCAATATAAAGTAAGTTATTTAACTGGAACGGTTTAGATAATTAAAATGAGTAGAAAGTGGTCGTACATAATAGTTTTCTGATAACAATATATGACAAAAAGTTGTGTACATTGTAAACTCTTCTAAATTATAAATTAGTATGGATAACAAAAAATATATTGCATACGGATCGAATTCCAAAATCAATATCTCCTTCTTCAAACATATCATGACTTTTAACTTTTGACACACAAACAACTATTTTAATAATAGATATTTGGTCATCTATGGAGATTGTTAATATATTTTCGCGATATTAGTTAAATTATTATTTTTGGTGTTTGCTTTTATTAAAAATAATTAAATTTATTGATTTTGTGTTTACGATTAATAAACACAGCCTTCTATTACATTCTTTTGAAAACTAACCATCTTTTTCGGAGTAGGTCATTCTAGACCCGAAGTAAATGGATCAAAAGTCATATTTGTGACCCCTCTTATAGAAATGGGACAACATCTTAATATAACGTTATTCTAGATTATTCTAAAAAGTTTACAATTCAAGTTTTATAGCTTATTTCGGAAACAAACTTGGAGTCTGCGAACCAAGTTAGTTTCACGTATTTTTCTATTATGAAATTAACATATAATATGTAAACAGTCGGTCTGGAATACAATGAATGAGTCTGGAATTTGACAGCAAAATTTCTTATTTGAAGGCTTCAATTGCAATTTCGTTTTTCCTATCTTTTTGTTGTTAGTTTTTGTTTTTTCCTTGTGGCTACTTGTACATTGCTTTGCCTCATCCCTTTTCCATTACTCTATGATTTTAAAATGAAGACTAATGTAAAATAATGCAAAAATGCGGCTTGTAAGGATATCCAAACGAGAATAACAAAAAGGAAAAGTCCTCAATGATGCAAAAGAAGGAGACCATGAAACATTAAGGATTTAAGGCTACCGATATCACCTCAAAAAGGAAGACTATGATCATGACTTTTGATCCTTAATGTTACAAGAGAAGGCTACCTAGGAAACAGAATAATTAATCCATCATTTTCTACAATATAAGGCTACCAAGATTAGCATAAAAGAACTTATAATTGTCTAATCGCTATGACCATGTCTTTCTTTTGAATGGATCATGTATATAATATCTATAATTTCTCTATATCTTTAAGAATAAAAAAAATATGTTCTCTAGTTGGTGCATTGTTGGTTCCTTATCTAGAAAATAACAACCTTCTTATGAGAATGGTTCCTTATGTAAAAAATAACAACCTTCTTATGAGGAATTAATTTATTTTTGATAGTTAATGTAAGAGTCTATTTACTATTTCAACATTGTTAAGGATCGCATTCACTATATTATATATATTCATGAGGTAATCAATTGAAATATTGCGTGTGAGTTGTGAACATCTCATGAAGTCTCGACATATTCTCGCCCAACGTATTAATTACATGTAACAACCTTCTTATGAGGAATTAATTTGTTTTTTATAGTTAATGTAAGAGTCTATTTACTAGTTCAATATTGTTAAGGATCGCATTCATTATATTATATATGTTCATGAGGTAATCAATTGAAATATTGCTTGTAAGTTGTGAACATCTCATGAAGTCTCGATATATTCTCGCCCAACGTATTATATATATATATATATATATATATATATATATATATATATATATATATATATATATATATATATATATATAAAAGAAAAACAAAAATATAAAAGTAAGGGTAAAATGGTCTTTTTAAATTAACTAAGGATGTGTCGTGCAATTTCTTTAAACCACATGAATGCATCTTGTCAATTTTTCAAAGGTTAGACTGAATGTGTGAATATGACCAAACAACAGGGACCAAATCTGTAATTTACTCTTGTTTTTAAGTTCATGTATTTTATTTGTCTATTTGGAATCATCATATAAATGTTATTTTTATTACATATTCAAGTACTGAAGGACACGACTGTGAAGCAGAAAACTAAATAATAAACTTGATTGACACCGGTTTGAAGCTCTGATACCAATTGTAAGGTCCTTGATGGAAGGATCTTCACCAATGATCAATCAAACATAAGAAAACAAAGAAGAAATGGAGTAGAAGTGGAATGAAACTGAGCTTGCATACGATTAAACACTTGAAACCGTCTTATACAACTCAGGGACCGAAAACTAGCAAAGTACAACTGCTGATCAACTCTCTCACTTCTGACAGCCTGACAGCCTATATATACATATGTGGACCGAAAACAGGTTTCGGTCAGCAGACCGAAAGCCTGTTTTCAGTCACTTCCAACCGAAAACAATGGCCTAGACCGAAAACGTCAAGTACACACAAAAGACTCCAAAATACATTGACAAATGCCCTAACTCATCTATACACTGTTGCCTAGCCCAAACCAAATATATTGACCCTTCAATCTCCCCCTTGGTTTGCGGCTAGCATGAATTCAGTCTTTGTCAACCACCAGCACATCTGACTTTCCCATGGCTCCATTCCACATCTCCTTTTGAATAATATCAGCAACCATGGCAGTGTACTCCTTAGCAGCAGACTCAAAAAGGTCTTCAGCCACCTTGATCTGATGATGAGAAAGCTCATGTATATCCCACTTTTCCAAATTGTAACAGATCCCTCTTGCCATACAAACGAATACATCCATGTTAAAGTTTGATGATAGCGGAAGCTGTAGTTTCATCAAACACCCAGTATTGCATGGATTTTAGAGATCCATCTGGATGGTTATGAAGGATAGGAATCTGC